AAGCCTAAAAGGTGCAAGGCACTCAAATGCGTTTGAAGGTTCATGTCTGCAGTCTCAATTCTATTGCCAATATCACGTAGTAATTGTGCCTTTCCTTCAGAGTAAATAGAGGAGGCTTCGTGAGCGCTGATTGGAACTAATCTTTTGAATATATCTTCACCAAGCACCTACAAAAAAATATAAAAAAGCAGAACAAATCTCAATTAGTTAAAGTAGTAAAATTATATGGTAATATATGTGCCCATAATTATGAAGTGGTCTAAGTCATATATTTCTTGTTTCAAGATTTAATGATTTGCATTGAATAAATTAAAAAATATTTTTACATTATGCGACATTTTAATTTTTAATTTTATTAGTCTTAATTAATGGAAATTATTATGAATATAAAATTTTGTGTGAATTTCATACGATAATATTGTTTTTAAAGTTGAATTGACTTAGACCATTTTCAAAATAACTGAATGTCCTATAAATGACTTAAAGCAATAAAACTTTGAGTTTTACCTTGAAACAATAATTTTATTGAAATAATTCGTGAGCATTTATTAATCATTTTTAAACGGTAATCCATTTTTATCATTATTTCGAGTATTTAAGATTCTTAAAATGTTCCTGAAAAACTGGAAGGATGTACGGTAATAAACTCATAATATCTTTATTGTTCTTCCGATACTGGTCTAATGCTGGTGTATAATGGAAGTAATTTAATATTTCCGTATATTTTTGGTCTTCCTCTTTTAGGTGAAAGATTCAAAACGTGAAATGTAGAATCATCTAAAGAAGTTTCATGAAACATTTTATAAGTTTCATTTTTCAAGAATCTCATCCATTCAATTTGTAGCCAAGAGACAGATTCGCCCAAGATGGTATTTTTTACTCTTCTTGTTATTGTATCATCTTGTTATATAATGATTTCGTTGAAAAAAATCCGACTGCGACATTCGCTTTATCAAAAATGTATGGCTTCTTCTGCACTTTTTTATCAAATCATAATAATGCTCAGGGTTTATAAGTAATTTGCTTTTTTTCTTTCATTTCTATCAACCCAAAATCACGATCATTCGGTAGAAATGAATGACCTGATACCAAAAATTTGTGGTCTACCGTTTCAATATTATTATTTGATGACTGATCAATTTTCATCCATGTCAATGCGACTTTGATGTCTATATAATTTCTTTAAATTTTTGACTTAGACCACTTTCATAATTAACACTAAATGAATTCCATATAATGTTGAAATTACAACCACTATCTAATGGTTCATTTTTGACAGTTTCGTAAAAATTACATTGAATACATTTAGTTTAAACTAATGTGGTATGAAATAACTGATAAAATCATTTTTTTTAAATTTTGACTTAGACCACTTTCATAATTATGGACACAATGTCAATTAGTTAATGTAGTAAAATTAATGGTAAATATATATTTGGTTTAAATGCAATAAAGTGTTTATTCCAGTAGAATATATATATATATATATATATATATATATTATATATATATATATATATACATATATATATATATATATATTAATATCTTACATCTTTGTCAGTAACACTAAAAGCTATGCCTTTAACAAGAGGTGCTCCAGTAGCTTGAGTAAGCGCAGACATCTCTGGAACTTCTTCATGATAAATGAATTCATTCTCATTCTTCGCAGCTTTCCTCTTGCCCTCGACCACATCATTAGTGAAGTTTAGAGCATCAGCAATTGCCTATTTGCAGAAATTATTTTGATATAATTATGATAAAAGCTTGTGGAATACTAATAGTGTAGTAAATGGAGGAAACAAAAGGTCTAAATTGTTTCCACACTTTCAAACTTGAGTGTAAGATGAACCTAATTCCAATATTTAAGCTGCTTTCTTATAGCTACTTTGCCATTGAAGTGTTAAAAAATCAGCAAAAAAAACAGAAAAATATTTGAATTATTTTATTTCTAGATCTTATTTGCTTAATTTAACATTGAAAATATTTATTTATTAGAAAGAATGTGGTCAAGTTCAAAGTGCTGTCATATATGGAGAGATTTGATACTACGGCGAGAGCAACAAAGACTTTGAGGCGGCCGTACTCTCAAACTATCAATTTTACAAAAAAACGGTTTTTTAAAGAATTGTGGAATTTTATCTAGTTTAAATTCGTACATAGATACTTTTATCATAGAATCAGCCAGAAAGGAAATATTTAAAAAAAACTGTTGTTTGGCGCCATTTTTTTAATATGACGGCAACTTGCCGTTCAAATTTGAGGTGGCAAAGTTGATTTTCGTAAAAAGCACCTCGAAATCCATAAGATTACCAATTTTCAGAATTCCCGGAGTACTGTACCGGCAACAGCCTTTTTTTGCCTGGATGACTGGAGTATAAAGAGTGATAATTCCTTACCTCTGCATTAGGCATTCCTTAGCAAGTTTGTTGCTTCCTCAAGTCTATTAAATGCAGCTTGATAAAATGCAACACGTTCGCCCATCTTTTGCTGTTCTTCCGCTTGTTGTCCTTGGTACAAAAGGGAAACACAGCCACAATATGCAATCTATGAAAATAAAACTGAGATATATCTGTTTTATTTGAAAGATGTGTTTAAAGTATAATAGATCATTTCATACCTTAAATTGTATATATTTCTTCCACTCCTTGTACACTTTGGATCCAACAGTATCTGCAACTGGTCCATCATCACCACCAGTCAACAAAACAGCTAACGCCAGACCGTAGTAATCCACGACTTGTACAGCAATTCGAGCTAAAATAATTTTCTGTTGTAAAACTTGTTTTAAGAAATAAATACATATATGAAAATCTTTATCCATATCCTTACCTACAATAGTAGCTTTTCTATTATCAGCCATAGACTTTTCTAAAATGCACTCTTGTGCTTGAGCAAAACTCAATGAAGTCATAAATGTCATAATTTCTGAACATAAATCTTCACTAACGACTTGGCAATAGTTTTCTCGTAAATGCTAAAAACACATTATTCAGTATTAGTATTTAAAGGGCACAACTAGTGTGAAATTTTCAAAAAATCGAATTTTCATTTTTTCCTTATTTCGATAGGTTATACATTTAAAAATAACATACCAAAATTTTAAATCGTAAAATAAATAGTTTTTGAGTTGCAGCCATTTAAAGAGTATGTATATAGTAAATAGTACTAGCAAACCCGACGAACTCCGTTTCGCCACCAGATGGTTTCGTGAGAAAGATGAAGAAATTTTTTGTTTGTTTTAATTTGAAAAGAAAAAATTTGATCAGGAAGGAAAACCGACTTATTTTTATATATACACCTAAGTCTGTTTTTACACGGTCTTTTTTGTACACGGTTTTGATATACCGGTTTGAAAATTGAATATTTTTAATTTTTTTACACGATTTTGTTCCATTTAGCACGATTTGAAATTTATGTACTTAAATTTTTTTTGTTAAATTTAATTTTTGCGAAGTATGTTCATATCACAAAAAAGTATTTATGAAAGAAAAAGTCTGAAACCATCGATAGTATCGATAGTTTGCGAACACTAAGCTTAAAGATTTAAGTGAATTTCCCTTCAGCGCGTACAAACAATTTTTACTGGTCAAAGCAAATGTGAATAGAACTGATTTAGGGGAATACCCTAAAAATTCTTGTTTTTCACTATTTTAATAGATTTTAGAGATTAGGAACAAATCACCCATTTTTGTATAAGATCAATGTCTTTTTTACACGTTTTTTTTTTACAACGACTTCTTCTGGAAACCAATCTACCATGTAAAAACAGACTTAGGTGTATATAATATAGAAGATAATCTATTTGCAATTATTTAAAACAGTTATTGATTATTTTTATTACTCGAATTTTTAATTACGGTGCGTGAAGTTCCAGCAATTGGCATTAAGGCACGATGCCATGCACCACTAATTTTCTTAGCATTAAACCTTGCGGAGCCCGAGACCTTTCCAACGAATGCAAAATTGTCCAAATCGGTTCGTTGCGTTCTGGAGTTATTTCGTCAGGAAGGAAAACCCGACTTATTTTTATATATATAGAAGAAACGATCATTTTATCTTTAAACGCGTTTTTCTCAAAACAGCATTTTCCAAATTTGCTGCAGCGATTACTCAAAAACAAATGATCCGATCACTAGCAAATTTTTTTTACATGTTCTATATATAGTTCTCCGTAAAATGATATATCGATTTTTGATCGGATCAAAAATCGAATTTTGGGCAGTCTAAAAACGACGAAAATTTTGGGTTAAATTCGACTTTTTTTAAAGAAAAGGCCGTCATTTTGTCATTTTTTGATTTTTTTTTTTATCGTAGTCCATTTTACAGACAATATTATCTAGTTTAAGGAGATTTTTTTTTATAAATTTCATCCACGTAGAAGGCCGGAATACTTCAGCAGTGAAGGGCCTTTTTTTAGTCGCGCCGTTGGAGATCGACGATGACTTAAAAAATATTTAATTTTTTAAAAACTGTATAAATATATTCCTGAAATTTTGAATTGATTGATAAACTAGTTTTTTTTAATATAAATTCCAAAAATCACCTTTTTTTAGGCGGTTACAAATTATTGCTCTACAAGTGCCTAGTTTGTATTTTTTACCTGAAATGCCCAAGCAGCGCATTGAAAATGAGTGCATGCCAATTTCATCCCATCAGCACTATTTCTGGAATCAGCTGCTCCCAATTGAGTGTGTAGAGCACCAATATTGTACAGTACTGCCCCAATCTCAAATCTGATATCATTAGCCGAAACCGACGAAGAAGTGTATATATCTTTCCTGAAAATCAAAATAATACATATATAAAAACTGTTATCTGATATAGGTCTGTTATAAGTATGAATTATACCAAGTAAAAGATATAGCCATAGGCTGCCCCTTCTCCATTGGAAATCTTCCTTGCAAAGCATGAAGCTGTGCGTAATATCTTTTTAGGACTGAGCAACCGGTAACATCTTTTGCTGGACGCACAGCAACTGCACGTAATCCCTCCAATGCGTGAAATTCATTATTGTAGCTTTCGGGATCCTCGTGGTAAAATTCAGCAATGTACTGCAAGTAGAATTTAATATGCATTAGTGTTCAATAGCAAAAAAAATATAACTATGTTATAATATCGAATATGGTGACTGATACTTCCTAATTTTTTTTTTCTTTATTTATTTTATTCGATATAATTCATAAGTACTGTATCTAAGCCATCAATTGCTCTGGTATGAGAGATCACAGCAATTATAACAAAAAAAAAAGATGCGCGTAAGGATCACACGCGATTGAAGTAAAACTTATTTGCTACTGTATAAAGTAGCAAATTTAAGTTAAGTAAAAATAAATACATCATATAACAGTAGCAAATTTAAGTTAAGTAAAAATAAATACATCATATAACAATTTTGAATAATGTTTATTAGTAACATGTAACACTCGTGAAGCACACATTTATTAGTGTCGTCAATCATTATACACATTTATATAATGATAAATTATAAATTATAAATTTATGATTGCATTAAAAATATGTATAATATTTACAAACAATAATACAATCAAAGTCGTACTTGAAATATGAAATGATCGTTTTAAAATAATTGCTGTATAATAAATTCTATAATATTCATTCACACAGTGGATTATGTTAAACAACGCCTAAACAAATATTGTTTTTGCAACTTCACTCATCATGTAATAATTGTGTTTGAAGAACTTCATGTAATTAAAATTAACATACATTCATTTACTGTTTGTATTTTTTTTATTTTTTCGCTGACGATATAATCTCATTCCTTGAACAGCTGTAATATCTGTCTTGCCTATCAAATTGAAGCCATACTTTTATATTTGTTTTATTTATCAAGCCCTGCACATAGCTTGATCTATGAATCATTTTTTTTTATGTGAACGTTAATGCAATAATCATCATCAATATTACGAGGTAATAAATTAACTATATTATTAATGTCAACAGGCACATTTATAATTTTGGCCAAATATTCCAAATTGTCCATTTGCACGTCGCAACCGTCTAATTTGCATGAAACACAACCTAGGTGAAATTATCCTTTCAGATACAGTATCCAGTTTAGGTAGATAATTTGGTTTAGGTGGAAATACAAACCCGTTAAATTTACACAAAATGGGAATTTTACCGAATTTAATATCTTTCGACAAGTTTGACATCCAACCTGATTATTTGAATCAATATTCAAAAACCATTATTAAGAATTTGTTTTTGAGCATTATTTGATATTTCTAAGTCACTTTGAAGCCAAAGTCGATCACACACAAAACATACATAGCCAAAGCTATCATTATACTGCTAATCCATGTCGCGCCTAAAGAAGTTTTTACACCCATGTCGCGCCTAAAGAAGTTTGACTTCAAAAATAAAATCTAAACTTCATGTAACAGACTTACATTAAGACATCTATATATTTTTACTTATTACTATTATACACACATATATACACAGAACGCTTGCATACATACATACATACTTATACCTAAATGAAATTAATATTTTAACAGAACAGAAGAAATATAGTATTACAATAAGGAATTTTATTTCATTTATCTCTTTTGTAATTTTTCAATTTAATTTTGAAATTCTTTAGGTCCGTCATTGTCTTTAGTTCGTCCGGTAGTTTATTGTAAAGGCTGCTTGCACTTCTCAGAGGACTTGCAATTCCTTTACTAGTTTTTGCATGTTTCATGTGAATGTTTTGGTTTTGTCTCGATAGATGGTCGTGTATATCCTGATTTGTCTCTATTATGGTGCAGGTTTTGATTTTGTCATTTTTTATTTCGAATATAAGTATACATTTTTCTATTTCTATTGTTTTGTGTAGTGGTATGCTCTTTGTCTTTTGTAGAAGTTCTTTTGTCGGGGTGAGGTAGAGATAATTGTAAGTCATAATTTATGCAAGCTCTTGGAAAAACATTTTATAAGCACAGTATAACTTGCTTAAATTTAATGGTTAGAACTTAAATTATTACTATAATTTTCTATCACGGAATTGATTGGATATTTTGTGTAATTTTTATAGGTTAACAGCTAATGACTAACAAGGCGTATACAATGAACATTTGTTCAATGCTTGCTATCAACTACAAAACATAACAATACTATACAACTACTTGAGCAGAATACATATTTTACAGCCTATTGTAATATTATATATCCATTATGACAAACATTAATGAATTATTTTTGTAAACACAGTTTTACCCCGGCACTAGGTGCCGTCCGGCGTTGTGGTGGCTCGGGACTAGTTTTTAGATCAAAACTGATCATAGGAAGCCTCGGCACCGCTTCCATGGTGGTAAATCTCTAACACTTTTGTATTTTTTTGCCAAACTCTTCTTTTTTAAAGGAAAACTTTCAATGTGATGAAACTATACAAATTGAACAAAGTACAATGAATAAAGTTTGTCATTTTGACATGTCATATGTCAAACGTCAAATCGGCGCCATCTTTGAATTCGTAATGGAGTCTTTTGACATTTCGTGTTTGTAAACAAAACTGACATTTAACCTATAAATTTTGTGTTTTACAGTTTTATTTATGCTATTTATTGTTTTTTTTTTATAAAAGTAAATATAGTTTTTTTTTATAAATAAAACATGTTTGATGGTTTGCAAAATTTTGAAATACGAAATGTGTGTAGGGTTTGTTTAAAAACTGTGTGTGATACTGTATTAAATGATTTTGACCACATACGTTATATGTATGAAAACATTACTCAAGTTAAGGTTAATGCATTTTTATTATAGTACTAGCTGACCCGGCAAATGCTGTTTTACCATGTAATGTTTTGCTAGATTTTTTTTAAATAAGTCAAATGGTAATACAAAAACAATAAAAACCCCTTCCCAGGTGTAAACTTTTAAAGTGGTTTTATAAAAAAAAAACTGTTTAATTTCACTTAAAATCAACATTACTGTAGAATTTATGTGAATAATAATACAACCGTTTATGCAGAAGGATAAAACAGACTGACTGATTATATATTCTTTAACTAATCACATGCATACAAATATTATTAACAATCACATGTTTACATAAAACAAAAGACAAACATGTATACATAAACATAGTAGACACAGAGCGTTTAGTATCAAACTTCAACAATTACATTTTATAAAACAATTAAATAGCGTATAGTTAAATTTTCATTAACTCCAGCGCTCACAACCCAGAAAACTAACAACGAAAGAAAATACTTTTATTATGGTTTTTCAAAGATTACCGTTTATCTTCCGATAGCAAAGCCATAAGAATCAAGGTTATAGCTGGTTATACATCTTTTTACCTCTACTTTCAAATATTGTTATTGACTGATGCTTAACTTTACTTTGAGACGGTGGTAAACCTTATTTACCCTGGATCTTCATATATCACTATCCATTCTTGATAAAAACTTTGCCTGTTTGTTTGTTCTTAAAAATTAGTGAAAAATAACCATTAGTAAATGATATTTTACATTACATTATCAAATGGTTTAATTTAATACAAAATTCCAGTGCCATCAAATGTTACTTGAAACTTTTCAAAAAGCAGGTCAAAGAAGAAATACTTAATTCATTTTCTATCTCTCCTCGCAGAAATTTGAAATTTTTTTATAAGCTCAGTAGTATTATTTACAATGATACACAAAATCCAGAATGCAAAAAGAATCTGAAAAACTTGAAACATAATCAATAAGTCGAAAGGCCAAAAAAAAGACTTGGATTGGATTATACCATGTTTTCTATAGAAAGTGTATAAAACTTCCAGTTTGATTGTATTGACAAAATATAGACAAACTAATGGGGTTTATTGTTTTTATAATACCTCATTGTATATAGCATTCAAACAACACATCCTTATACACTTCAAGTATTAATTTTTTTGATTCTTTAGAAATTGTTTAAAATATACCTTACCTAGCAAAATAACGTTTGCCGGGTCAGCTAGTATATATATATATATTTATATATAAAGAAGATGAAAGTATTACTACCATTATTTATATTTCATCATTCATAACCCATTTATCACTATATAGATTCTGATGAATGAGAACTTACCTTGCAACATATGCACCAAATGCCGAGAAGAACTAATAAAGCATTTTAACTTTAAAGAAAAATGCTTAAATAATGAACAGTCCTTAAAAGATTATTTAAAAGAATCCACATCCCAGTCACCATTGTCACAGCATCAAACAAATCCAGACGTAGATAGTATTTTGGAATAAATTTGGATGATGCATCAAAACATTCTGTTGCCTTCAGTTTGAATAATGAATCTGAAAGAATAAAAGATACACGGGTTAAAATGTCAGAGGTACTTTTTATATGAATAGTTAAATTTAAGGGGCACACTAGTGTGAAATTTTCAAAAAATCGAATTTTCAATTTTTCCATATTTCGGTAGGTTATACCTTTAAAAATAACATACCAAAAGTTTAAAACGATATCTTAAATAGTTTTTGAGTCGCAAGCATTTAAACAATATATATATATAATATATAGTATAACGATCATTTAATCTTTAAACGCGTTTTTCTCGAAACAGCATTTTCCGAATTTGCTGCAGCGATTACTCAAAAACAAATAATCCGGATCACTATCAATTTTTTTTTACATGTTCTATATATAGTTCTCCGTAAAATGAACTATCGATTTTTATCGGATCAAAAATCGAATTTTGGCAGTCCGAAAACGACCAAAATTTTGGGTAAAATTCGACTTTTTTTAAAAAACGCCGTCATTTTGTCAATTTCTTATTTTTTTCTTTATCGTAGTTTATTTTACAGATAATATTATCTAGTTTAACGAGATTTTTTTTTAAATTTCATACACTTAGAAGGCCGGAATCACTGCAGCAGTAAAGGGCCTTTTTTTGTCGCGCCGTTGGAGATCGACGATAACTTAAAAAATATTTAATTTTTTTCTTCAATAATTTTACTATGTATTCTTAAAACATGTATAAATATATTCCTAAAATTTTGAAATGGTTGATAAAGTAGTTTTTTTAATATAAATTCCCAAAAATCACCTTTTTTAGGCGATTACACCAGTTGTGCCCCTTAATAAACAAGGTTGTTTTTAAATAAATATTTGTACAATTTAGGCAAACACCAAAACCACGTATGCATAGTTTGCAAAGAAAATTTTCATTCCTTCTCAAAGCTGTTGCTTCATACAGAAGCACATCCTACAGATAAATCAGTTCAATGTATAAAATGTCCAAAACGATTCGAGAGCTATAAAGGACTTGTTAGACATTTAAAAAATCATGATGGTAATTTATTTTATAGAAGTATTTTTTTTACATAATTACCTTACTAGTTTTTTCTTTCAGGTAGTCCATTTCTTTGTTACAGTTGCGGCAAAACATTTTTTAGAAGTAGTGATTTCAATGTTCACATGCGAATACATACCGGTGAACGACCTTATAAATGTAAAACTTGTAATAAAAGGTTTAAGACGTCTTACATGTGTTTAGTGCACAGTAGAAAACATACAGGTTTGATAAATATAATATATATTATACTATAATTGAACTTACCCTTTTAATTGATTAAACAATTCCTTACCGTTCCAACAAATTGATTTGTTATTCAAGATTTTATTTCAAATATTGTAGACATATTTGTATTCTCTCACAAATTTATGAATACGAAGCACTATATTTTTTTAAATATATATATCATTAAATTTTTAGTAAATTATTATGAACTTCACGTAGGGCATGTTATAGTAATCGCAAAATAATCGAAAATGAAATTTTTTATATATCTTTAGGTTTCAAAGGTTTCTGAACACTTTGGCATACCTTAGAAAAAAATGGATTATGTGTGTGGATACAAATTTTCGTCGACGATTTTGGGAACACGGTTCAATTTAACCGACCGATTTCAATTTTTCAAAAAATATTCGATTTCTATTGATAAAAAGACGTGCTAATTAGTTTTTGGCAAAGGCAGGTCCAGCCGTTTCGAAGACACGGGGCAAAAAGTGCCAAAAACGGTAACTCAGTTTTTACAAAAACGGAGCGTCCGATTTTAATAATTTAAAAAAGACTTTAGTTGTATTGATAAGATGAAGAACTGATTAAATTTTTGGAAAGGCAGGTCTAGCGGTTTCGGAGATTTAGTACAAAAAAAAATGCCATTTGGCAGTCAAGAATGATCATTAGACATATACATAGGCACATCAAATTATCAGTTATTTTATAGAGATTTTAACAATAAGTATCAATTTTCTTTACATTTCTACGGGTTCCGTAACGTCGTTTGTCCGTTAGACGGCGACGCGGCGCTTACGCGCTTCCATATTTCGTCTCTATGCAGCTAAAGCAGTGCGATTGCTTTGAAAAAAAGTTCATAATTTCCAAAATATTTCAAAATAGAGAAAATTTTTTGGAATCTTCATTTTTTTCAATCTTTTTTTCGAAAAAAGTCAATTTTATTCAAAAATTTAAAATTTCTCAAAAATCTAATTTTTTCATAGTGAAATCTTTTTTAAAATATGAATCTTTTTTAAATAATGTAATTTTTGGTTTGAGAAGTTCCAGCAATTTGCCTTATTAAGGCATTTCAAAATGAAGAAATCATTTTTTTCAAAGTTTTTTTCCAAAAAGTCATTCTTTCAAAAATTTAAAATTTCTCAAAAATCTAATTTTTTCATAGTGAAATCTTTTTTAAAATATGAATCTTTTTTAAATAATGTAAATTTTTGGTTTGGGAAGTTCCAGCAATTTGCCTTATTAGGGCATTTCATAATGAAGAAACCATTTTTTTCAAAGTTTTTTTCTAAAAAGGCATTTTTTTCAAAAATTTAAAATTTCTCAAAAATCTAATTTTTTCAAAGTTTAAAAACAATTTTAATTTTTTGTGTAATGTAATGTAATTTTTGGTACGGAAAGTTCCAGCAATTTGCCTTGAAGCACGATGCCGTACTAAATTTATGCAGCTTTTGAAAAACTTTTTTTTCGACAAGTCTTTTTTTCCAAAACAGTAAAGTAAACTTTTTTTTCGACAAGTCTTTTTTTTCCAAAACAGTCAATTTTGTTCAAAAATTTAAAATTTCTCAAAAATCTATTGTTTCAAATTAAAAAAAAAAATTAATCCGTTTTGAAAATGTAATTTTTGGTACGGAAAGTTCCAGCAATTTGCCTTAAGGCACGATGCCATACTAAATCTATGCAGCTAACGCAACTGCGAAAAAAAGTTCAAAATTTCCAAAATATTTCAAAATAAAGAAATTTTTTCAACGTCTTTTTTCCTAAAAAGTCAATTTTACTCAGAAATTTAAAATTTCTTGAAAATCTATGTTTTTTCAAAGTTTAACAAAAATTAATCTTTTTTAAAAAAATGTAATTTTTGTACGGGAAGTTCCAGTAATTTGCCTTAAGGCACGATGCCGTACTAAACCTATTCAGCTAAAGCAATGCGATTGCTTTAAAAGAAGTTCAAAATATTTCAAAATAAAAGAAAAAACATTTTTTTCAGTCTTTTTTTCTAAAAAAATCATTTTTCGATCACATGATTAATGGACGTCCCCTAAGGCTCTATGCCATACACCACTAGTTTCCTATCATTACTCTTCTCATTGCAGGTGAAAAACCATTTTCGTGTAAAGTATGTTCAAAAACTTTCATATCAAGCAGTCATCTTTACGTACACACAAAAATTCACAATAAAGTTCTATCGTTTCCATGCAAAGATTGCGAAAAAACATTTTCCCAAGAAAAAGACTTAAAAATTCACAGCAGTCTTCATACAGGGCACTCGCTTTTATACTGCGACATGTGCGGGAAAAGTAAGATTTATTTTATAATAATTATAATTTTAGGAATTTGTTATATTATTTATATTTTTTATCTTAGGTTTTAATCGAAAGAGCAATTTATTGAAGCATATCAGACTCCACCAAGGGATTAAAACACATATATGCCAAACGTGTAGTTTTGCCTTTTCCACATCGACGCAACTCAAAATACATCTAAGAACTCATTCGGGCGAACGCCCATATAAATGTGATTTGTGTGTGGCCAAATTTGCTTCGTCAAGTGGTTTGTCGAGGCACAAAAAATGCACAGGAATAAAAATAATGATTTAGGAAAGGAGATTGTAGGAAATCAACTCATCAGTTGAAGGATAAAAGTGCTCTATAGAATTTATACATAACTCATAAATTGTTGATGTTAGAAATAGGCATTACAAAAACCGGCATTTCAGAAAACCGGTTTTCGAATTTTAATTTCACTAAAAAACCGGTTTTAGCCG